CGTCTCAGTTTCTCCGAAACACCCGCAACATACGGAATAACCACTGGTTTGGGTCTGGGTTTGGGGTCTTCATTTTCACCTGAAGGTTGCATGGCGTTCCCATGGCATTTAAGGGTTAAAATGAAAGTAAATTATTTTTAAACAAAATGGGGTTTATGAATGGGTTCCTGGAAATYTTGTAAGGGGTCCCCAGATCCAAAAAGTCTGAGAACTTCTCTAAGTGATTACACGCAAACTGCTTTTAAAACGTTGCAATATTACAGTCAACTCTGCCTGTTTGTTAACAAAATATTTCATCTGGCAAATAACACTTTAAATTTTCAGAAAAATATGGTTGGCTGACCAAGACATGAGCAACTTTTTGGAATTACCCYAATTAAAGTTGGCTGCAACAGCTGAGCAACTTTAATAAGCAGGAAAAAAAGATTTAACTTTAATAGATTTGAGGCAAAAAGAAGAAAAATTATGTGGTTTTAGTTGAGTCATTTTACAACAAGGTTTGACCTGATCCAAAAGTTAATATTGGTGAAACAATAAAATGAAAAAAAAAGGTAAAGATGTTTAAAATGCTGAGAAATGGTTTCCAAATTTWAAAAAATAAATAAATAAAAAGAGAAAAAGAGGGAGCTGAAACGGCTCTTTAATCAGTGAGAGGGACTGTAAGGAGGCGGGCCGAGGTGCCTACTGTAATCCGATACACGCTCATGCGCACGGCGTGCACGCACACCCAGTCAAGAGGAAGGAGGGGGCACTGAGTGAGCAGTCCTGCTCGCTGCCACAAGCACGGCGGAGTTCGGAGGGGAAGGAGCGCGCCTCCTGGAGCCTGCCCGGAGAGAGAGAGAGAAAGAGAGAGAGAGAGAAAGAGAGAGAGGGGGGGGGGCACGCACACTCTGCGCGTAAAGAGGTGGAGAGGAGCGAAGAAACGTACAGTTTTCTGAGAGGAGAGCTTGCAAGCACATTTCCCTCTGTCCCCAAGCAGTTTTACGCACGCAGACTGGACCTGCTTCTTACAAGAGACGGTTGATTTTGCTCAAGATGTAAAAACGGTCGGAGCCGCAGAATAAGAAGAAAACAAATTGAAACAAAAATGCGCCGATTGTGAAGAAAGTTGTGGAGGACATTACTTTTTTTTGTTCCTTTTAAAAGCAATACTTGTTTTAGATATTCCCGATTATCAACTTTGATTTGTTGTTCTGATTTTACGCACGCTTGTTGTTTTTGCTGTCAGGGGAGGGCACAGATCCGCGGACTCTGCGCTCCGCGATGGATTCCGCGGGACTCCAGCTGTGTTTACAGTTTCAGTTACTTTGCCTTCAGAGTCTAAGCGCGTTTTTCACGCATTAAAGAAGCGGCTCACATGGTAGCTTGTTCTTGGATAGCTGCAAGCCGGCGCTTGGATTCTGGTCTCTGGTCGCGTTAGGAGAGGAGATCTGCAGCTCTGCCTCAGATTTAAAACCGTGCAGGAGGAGAGGAGCTGTTTCTTTTCCCTTTTTTTTATTATTTTTATTTCTCCACACCAGAGGGAAAACATGGATTTACTCATTTGGCTCTGTGGATGTATACTGCCGTGTATTTTACCTGCAGCTGTAAGAGCAGAGGAAGTGGGTAAGTTTGACACTTTGGCTCTTTTTTTGGCACAAATTGGAAATTAAACAGTTTATTTGTGTTTTCTATAATTACTCAAAACAACCAACAAACTCAGGCAAAGCAAGGAACATCTGCTTGTGTTTTTTATGTTGAAGTACTGAATATCAAAGTTTAACTTTTTTAGGGTTACCATCCATTTAATACACTTTACTGAGAATCTGAGGCCTTCAGAAGTCATTTTTAAATTAATAGAATCAAATAAAACTTTAATCATTGTGATAAAAAGAGATTTTAAAGGGATGGTTCTGATATTTTCAACAGCTTGTGTTCTTATTGTTCCTCTGATTGTCCTGTTGGCTGGGCATCACTTCTTCCTCACTGAAATACAATATATTCCAAAACAAGACCCATTTCCACGGAGCATAATTTTGAAAAATGCTAAGCAAATGAAAATAAAACGATGATAATAACCATTTTAGAGTTTATTTAAGCAGTTTTATAAAACCCTCAGTTTTCCAGCAGTTGTCTTGCTGCGCAGAGAGGTGACAGACATGACCGGGCTGCTGTCCGTTAGCTCCAAAAACTCCAACTGCGTTTGTCTCTGCTTCTGTCACTCAACACGGCACAGTGTGTGTGTGAGAGAGAGAGACAGATCTGCAGCCTCAGTCAATAATTATCATTTTGCCTTTTTGTTATAGACAGGGACCAGTGCAGGCATGCATTTAGCAGAAAACCAGTTGCAGCAGATGGTCTCTGTGCGTCTTTGTGCGCTTTTACGCACAAGAAGCGTCCCGAAACGAAACTAACGCATGAGATTAATGAAACATAAAATAGCTTCTACATTTAAAGTGATGCTGTGAAATCAACGAGGGAAATGAGGASAGTATCTGTGGGAAAACTTGGTTCTGTTGTAGGATTTTCCGATCCAGGAAGACTTGTGAAGATCTCATGACTGGATGGAGTGTTTTCTGCGCCAAGCATAAACAGACAGAGATGGCAGAAAAGTTGTTCTTCACAGCACATTTACTTCAATCAGTTCTGAATAAACAGATTTTACTGAAGAGCCTGGCTCCTGTCTACAACTGGTTGAGATAATTCCACCTCCAAATACTCAGTATTTCAGAAATACTTACAGTATTCAATCGAGTTCTCACCAGTTTATCCATTCTAACTATAACTTCTTGTTAATTTTGTCAGAAATGATCTTAACTTTCATATCTGTTCTACAGAAAAACACTATAAAAGAACATTTTATACCTGTTGAGACCTCTTTCTGACAAAAAAAAAATCTGCTGACGAAAAAAAAAACTTATTTTTTGTCTGAGGACTCCCTCCAGCTCTGCCCGCTGGCACTCTGGGTTGAAACGCTCACACACACTCAGCTGTAGGGCTGTGCAGGATGAAGCTTCCTCAGCACTAAACTTAGATGCCTCTCTTTTGCTGTCTCTCCAGAGATGAGACGGGGAAAGCACCAAGAGACGCAGAAGTGCGTGTATGTAGCAGGAGGGATGGAGCAGGGGGGGAAGGATGTAACAGAGACAGAACCAGGCAGGGAAGCTGCAAAACGAAGGGAACSGAACGGAAGAATCATTTTTAGCTTCGCTGTTTGATCCTGTTCCTTCATTCTGTTTGATCACAGCTGTGCCTGGAAGGCAGATAAACGGACATAATTGGCCACTCAAGACCAGCTGTCTGCTTCTATAGTGTCTCAGCTGAAATATAGTGGATGATGAAACAGGATCACCATGATACAGAGAGTTAGAGCTGCTCTGCGCTGGAAATAAAATGCTCACAGGTAGCTCTGAGGATTGATTGGATTTTTATTTTAAATAAATCACTGTGTTGCTTCACCAGAACTAAAAAAAAATCAGAAATAAAAGGAGCTCCGGATTTCAATCAGAACAATGCAGTTTCAATCATTTTTTGTTGTTCAGTGGAAATAGGCAGGGGAATACGCATTTGCTCTAACTTTTACAACGACTAAAATCACGAYTGTTTAATTTTTTAGCCGTTTTAATCCTACAAGTGGTGTTTCCATGTTATGTCAGTGCAGGTCAGAGTGATCAAAGCATCTGTTGGCTGTCTATAAAACAAACCAACAACATCATTTGTTCATTAAATGAGGTTTTACCCCCATTTTACACTCTAAAAATGAAATGTTGGATTGACTTAACCATGTTATGTTACCTGGTTCCACTTAACTGAGTTGAGTAAATTCAAAGCAATATACTCATGTTCTTTGGCTAAAAAAACTGGCATTGCTTTGAATTTACTCAACTCAGTTAAGTGGAACCAGGTAACATAACATGGTTAAGTAAATCCAACATTTCATTTTTTACAGTGTTTACTGCACAATGAAATTAAAGAGTTAATAAATGAAGAAAATGAATATCTGCTGATATTCATGCCAATATATGAAAATCATCTTGAGAAACGGTGGAGTTTTGGTGATGTTGAAAATAATGCATAATCTACAATATGCCATATGTGTTGCAAAAATAATCTGAAATTCTAGCTTGTCAGTAAAACCTGACTGTTATAGCTGTTTTTATTTGGCTGTTGCGGTTGTTTTGGATCCTTAGATTCACTATTTCCTGTGAGTTTTATTCAAACCTATGCAGTGGTTTTTAAAATATTTTGCTTACCGACAACGTTGACTTCAAATAATTTATATTTTTTTTAAAAAAAGATCTTAGTTTTTTAGTGCTCAGAACATTTTGTTGATCAGTCTCACTGTATCCATGCCACTAATATAAAACACTTTCTTACATCAAGTTTATATTTTACAGATAAATCCAGCTTTTATCAATTTTAACAATACTGTCTATAAAGATATTCAAACTACATTTTTACAGCTGCGTGGGACGAAGACATATAAAAGCAAATAATCTTGTTTCTTTATGTGTTTCCATAGAAATGTAATGTTTTCTCAAAGTGCTCCTTATTACTTCTGCGAAGTCAGACGTGTTGATTTACCGATACAGAGGGGAGGAAATTATAATAAGATCTATTTCTGATGCCTTACTGTCAGCAATTGTAAACTTTCCTTCCATTTCAGCCCACTTAAACACTGAAGTAGTATAAGAATGAGGGAAAAATAATGGAGTGACGGTGTTAATAAGGGAGGGGGAGCAGAGAAAGTGAGAGGGAGGGGAGAGAAGCAGTAGCTGAGYGGAGCCACCTGCAGAAAACCAATCCTTCCTTCTGCTGTGCACAGGAGGGTTTCTGCCTGAGGTGYAACATTAAATCGACTCTGATCATGACACCCCGAAGGTAAAACATTCACATTTRTGCTGGCTAATAATGATGGAATTACGTCACAATTAAAGGAGGCCCCGCCTTTTAAAGTAACACGACACATTTCGACAGGTTTAACAATGAAACATGCTTTTGAACAACTCTAAAACAGTTTAACTTACAGAGCAAACCTATTTAAAAAGCAGATTTTAGTTTGATTTTTACTGTGAAGGTTCATGCTGTGGCAGGTGACACTTTAATTTCACTTTAATTATCCTGCAGGTAACAGGTGTTTCCCACCAGGTAAGGATTAGGACTYATCCACATTCATCTGGTGACTCAGATGATAACACATGGGTTTTGTTTTTTTTCTTTTCTTGCATGCAAACGGCAGCACGATGGCTCGGTGGTTAGCACTAATGCCTCACAACAAGAAGGTCCTGGGTTTGATCCCTGGTTTGGACCTGGAATCTTTCTGTGTGGAGTTTGCATGTTCTCCTTATGCTCGCGTGGGTTTTCTCCAGGTACTGTGGTTTCCCCCACAGCACAGAAATATGTACAACCAGTCAATTAATCAATCAACCAAGTCTATTTGTGTAACACATTTCAGCAACAAGCAGTTCAAAATGCTTCACATCATAAAAACACAAAAAATACAGTTATAGAAGACAGTTAATAATTAGTTACAGATCTGTGATCTCAGTGGGATTTGCCAGGTTAAATAAAAATTGAAAATGTAAAATAAAAACCAGCATTTGTTGGTAACGCTTACTTTTATGGTACCCTTATTACCATGTAATTACAAGGTAACAAAAATGTAATTAAATGTAATTACTACCTTATTACCATGTAATTACGTGGTAAATAGAGTACAATTTTACTATAATTGTCTGCAGTAATGTAGCACTTACCTGGTAATGTATTACAACTCACTGTTACACCTAAATAAGTAGTAGGTAATTTGGGCAGTTTTAATTTATATTTTATTGCAATTAACCACTAACCCCAAAATTTAGTTGTATTCTTTTGGTTAAAAATATAGTGTTGAGTTACTATTGAATAGTAATTTGATTGTAGTTACCCAATAAATGTAGTTTTACTAACAGTAGTTTTTCTTTTGCACCGTAATTACCATGTAATTACATGGTAATAAGGTAGTAATTACTTCTAATTACATTTTTTATCACCTGGTAATTATATGGTAATAAGGTAGTAATTACATTTAATTACATTTTATGACCTTGTAATTACATGGTAATAAGGTAGTAATTACTTCTATTACATTTTTATTATCTGGTAATTACATGGTAAGAAGGTAGTAATTACTTCTAATTATATTTTTGACCTTGTAATTACATGTTAATAAGGTAGCAATTACTTCTAATTACATTTATACCTTGTATTACATGGTAATAAGGTAGTAATTACAGTACTTACATTTTTATTACCTTGTAATTACATGGTAATAAGGGTACCGTAAAAGAAAGTGTTACCCATTTGTTGTAGGAATGCATATCACCTGCCTATCATGTTTTACATTAAAATTATCTTTTGTTGAGAAGTAGTTTTGGTCAAATCCTAATGAAAGCTCTCATGCGTTCAGAGAAAATAAGGATGACTCTCCACTACTACCGCACTAATTTAGAGGTTAATATCTAAAGAAACGATCGAGTCAAGTCATATTTTTCTGCATTGTGGTTGATGATGTATGGCTGCTGTGTTGGCAGCACGGCGGATCAGTGGTTAGCACTGATTGCCTCACAGCACGAAGGTCGTGGGTT